CGAAGGAGGGTTGACTTGGACTTTTGTCTGTTGAATTGTGCGAAGAAGACCTCAGCTCACCGTCCTATGAACGTCCAAAATATTATTGGACGGTGCAGCTGAGGAAGCTCTATCTAGAGGTTTTAAGTATCCTTTGTCAAAAAGCCAGAGTTTCACTTGAGGGATTTTAGTAGAGGTTATTAACTTTACTGACCGATTAGCGGAAGAAACTCGAAGTAAGATTGAAATATTGCTTGCAGTGCCTATGTGGAAGATACCTGTAGACCCATACATAAGAGGTTATCCGAACACAAACAGCCTGCAAGAGTATTTGGGTCCCAAAATAGAAATTGGCCGAACACATGTCTCGCACAGGTCACCTGATAGATTGGTCTAATGCCAAACACTTGGCTGGATATGGAGACTTTATCAGTAAGTGAAAGATTAGGATGTGATGCAATCAACAAGACAACAAGCCAACATTCCGAATAGAAGGAATGAGTGTAGGAAGTTAAGCAGAAACTACTTGTGGCTGTTGGATAGGTTTAGAGGGAGAGAATGGAGAGAGGAACGAGAAGTATCACCGACCAAGAGGAGGAGGCTTGATTAGGCTGGAATTTTGTTTTGACTCTCACATCACACCCATTTCAAGAGCAATACACTCACACAACGCGTGTGAAAGATTAGGATGTGATATAAATCAACAAGACAGCCTACTTGTGGCTGCTGGATTACACACAAAACATGTGCAATGGGACGCAATCGCATGCGGTAACCTTGCAGGATCAATGGCATAAGTGCTTTAGGGGAGGATGCAGCTGTTCGGTTTCAATTACGCCCATTTCACGCTTCATCTGTAACCATTTCACATGTCATCCGCAGCCACTTAACTTAGCCTATGAGCAAATATAGAGGCGAAGCATTGGCCATCCAACCAAAATATGATAAGCCTAAGTGAGTCAAATTGGTCTATAAGAAGGAAGTAGGGTTGAATCTGGCCACCTTTCTTGCCTTTGCGTTTTTGGTAAATTGTTTTTAAGATTGATGTCTTGCTCTGATGATGTTCGTCACATGACGGACGAAAGCTCAGCAAGTATTGATCGGTGTCGCAGGGCGGTGCACCGAGGACCTATTCGCACAAATCTACAACCACGGCTTCAAAGCAACCTCCCATCACAGTCTCCGATAGAGCCAACTTACGAATTCCTTCCACTTGCCTCTTCAAACGAAATGAAAGGTACTCCAGTATGGATTCAAAGCGAATCGAGATTTGCCTTGCTCGCTTGTACTACTCGCTCTCTATCCCTCTCATCCTATCCTACAGCCACAAGTAAATTCCACTTGTATACACTAATTCCTTTTATTCAGGATGTCCATTATCATGTAGCATATAATATATTGGAAAATTGAATAAACTCAAAAATATGAGATACGCTTATTTAAACCTGCAACTTAATGAAGCCTGTGGGAAAATATTACTCAACCTGTCGACTATGAAAGATAATTGTATTGGGATTTACAAGGCATACACTAGTCTGAACTATCATCGAATGGAGGATAAAGAAGATAATGTGAACAAATCGACATTCCCACCTGGCTCTTGATAGTGGATGGCCGTGGCGTGGAGATACCCAAATCATTGGAGCCGATAGCATCTCCAACCTGTGGATGTTGATTGGAAGCCGAACGATTGAGCTGCCTGAGACGTCGAGACCGGCTTTTTGAAGGGGCAACAGCCTGACGAATCGAGGTAGGTATTTCACCTACGATCAGGCCCTCAGGGAACAACTTCCATGCCACCTATCAGATTAGTGCGAATAAAAAGTGGTTCCACATAGAGTAAATGCAGATTAACTAAAAATTTGTAGGCTAGAAAATAGACACTAAATTTGTTTAAAATTAATCTCAAATAAATAATAAGTTATTAGCTACAAATACCTTCAAGCATTACTCCAGCTCAAAAAATCCCCGATAAAAAAATTTTCGGCTTAGAAA